ATACATAAATAATGATTAAAAGTACATTTTAAAAATCAACAGTCATACAATTTATTAACCAGTATAGCTGTATAGAGGGTACATTCTCTCGCTTCGAGTTGCATACTCACATCGATCAAGTGAATTCTAACTGTTGCCTTGTGGCCAAATATTGCGTTACTTTACAGCTGGACATATTTAAGATTTTGTTCGCACGCAAACATCGAAAAAAGTGTGTAATACCACACAAAAGGCCTTCCTGTGTATCGATTCAAAACAAAGTTCACTGACCAGGTACACAAAAGTGATTGACCTAAATTAGCCTTTTTGTGACCTATAACGCTACATAGGATATTATACTTTGTGATATCTATCTTCAACATTTATTTGAATGACTTGGGTATTACACAATCGTGGGTATAAAATTAAAATAGTAACAACGAAAAGCCGAGTGCTGCATTAGCGTACTTGTCTCCCGTTCGTTTAACAAGAGTTAGGGTCGCGACTCTAGACCCTACATATCTCGGAACATTGAGTAGAGATATTGCCATCGAAACCCTGTCTCCTCGCAATTAGAACATATATTCACTTGACACTTCTTTATCAAGCTAGGATCACCAACTCTCTTAGTGTGTCTATGATCGGTAGTATGCAGTTGAAATGTACTAACTCATATGTGATCGGGCACGCTTGACCTGCATGCACTAAAGTTTTAGGTCAGGTGTGACCTATATATTTTGACTTTTTGACCCTATTCATGGTGTGCATAGGTCGCTGACAAAGCGGGTATATGTGACAATATGGTTTCTCATATGGTCTGGACAGTATCTGTTCTTGCGTCATATTTATAAGCACGACCTCGCCGTGTTAGTCTCCACGTCATATCGAATTTTTTGTGTTGCATCTGTGCGATATCGGGTTGCGATTCTGCTACATACTTTCTTGATGGTTGATTCTTTTTGTTCTTGTGTATTTGTTCTCTTCCAGATTACTTTCTTTTCTTCGTGCGGCTCTTCTTTCACTCCCTCCTAATTCAAAGAAATTCATACTAATCCATGCATGTATCAACTTGGTGTGGCCTAATGCTCAAATTGTTTTGTATTTGCGGCTTCTCTCATGTGTACTATTGATTTTGGACATCTGCTATTCGGCCAAGTAACTCCACTCGATTCAGCCATCATAATCTATTTACTTTTCTTTAGTTCTGTTATGGATTCTATAACAAACAAATTACAAACAAGCACTCTTTTGTGACTTTCATTATAGGATCTTAACCAAATCTACTTCATATTTACTTAATAATGTGCCTGATCCCTGATGCCTATATATATATATATCTGTACAATGAAAACTAATATTTATAGACATGTACATGTACCATAATAATTATGATAAATTATTTAAATTCACTGATCACCAAACAAAGCACTGAACAATACAGGAAAACTATTATTTATAACATGGTCATAGATATTTCAAAATTTTGTGCTTTAGTAATGCAATAAAAATCTAAATACGTAAACGTAATATATTTCAACGCTGTAAAAAGTCAACGATAGAAAATAATGATCCCTGTGCATAATAAGTGCAAGCACGTCTACTGACATGGATCGAGGTGCCGAGTGGGTAACGGCATCTGCAGACTTCGAGCGAATGCGAAATATACACACCACACATGATTCAATTTTTCTGTGGCATATCATTTTCACGACAACATATTGTTATCACGCTCGGCAGCTGGTACATTTGATAGGAAATGAGCCTCGTTTAAATAACCTATTTACATGTACTTAATACAGAAGTTTTCATCAATCATACTCGCTTCAATATTACAAGCCATGGATAGGAGTCCTGCAATGCTACACACCTTAGCACCCTACTTGTATCAATGTAATATTTTATACTCGTGTTATATTTTTTGCATAATACCATCGTCTCCATGGATTCCTTCACTTTAAATATTTAAACGTCATGAGACCAGAATGTAGGATACGAAATGACACGCTCTTGTATTCATAGGGTTCCAACATGTTCTTCTACAGGTTAGAAATTCTAGGGGGAACAAAACATCGTGCGTGCGTGCGTGCGTGCGTGCGTGCGTGCGTGCGTGCGTGCGTGTATGTGTGTGTCAACTACATTGGTTAACTACATTGGTTAACTACATTGGTAAACAATTATGGTAGACGGGTTCAGTAACATACCTAACAAATGGAAACATGTATAAGTACATAAGCAGCTTAGCAACAGCAGAGAGTAAAAGCAGATTCATGATTTATGAAATATCATTAGTGAAAAGGGAGTAATGCCTGTTAATAAATATAAAATGAAGAGTGCAAATACAAATAAACTAGACTGAAAATAGTTATCAATATGTAATCGTGATTAGGTGGTGATTGTGCTAACACATGATATTGTTAACTAAGTGTTACTCAAAACTTGATTTCTCGTCTGAGACCAGCGTCAATACTGGCAATTTGGATGTTAAGCCCTGTCTACACTAGCAAACTTTAGTTTGCAAACTCGAGCAAACTCCGAGTTCGAGCAAACTCGAACAAACTCGCGCAAACTCGAGCAAACTCCGAGTTCGAGCAAACTCGAACAAACTCGCGCAAACTCGAGCAAACTCCGAGTTCGAGCAAACTCGAACAACCTCAGCAAACTCGAGCAAACTAGTTTGCCAAGAAGGTGCACGGCCTAACTTCTGCAAACTTCTGCAAACTAGTTTGCCGAAGTTTGCCAACTGGTCTACACTGGAAAACTTTGGAAAACTTTTCTTGGCAAACTCGGAGTTTGCTCGAGTTTGCTCGGTAGCATCTTTCCAGTATCATAGCAATAGCTTTGAACTCTAAAAGCACGTTATCTGTGACCAGTGACACCTGACCATAATAGGATGGAGTAGTACCTTATTTGGCCCTCTGCTCCATTGATGGGCAAGACAAAAATTAAATGTTCAATAGTATACAGAAGTGTGGAGTTGAGTTTTTTTTTATACACCTGTAATTTCCAATCGATCCATCTACCCAAAATGATCAACTTAATATGCTTAATCTTATGTTGGATCTATATGCCAAAAAAGATTCTTCTTTATTACGAAACGATTCCATGGGTGATATTAGCCATGTTTGACTATACTTTTGATAGTCCGATCTATCGATACGGGGGCATATAACGTTATTAGAAATCTAGAAATTACCAACTTGTTATACATATACAACATTAACATTCATAAATATGACATATGCTATACAGTAAAAGAATAGTTTTAAGCTCACCAATTGTTTTTTCTCTGTTCTGCTGTCCATTCTTACGCTTGAGGCTCAGCCTATTCTTCAGTTTATCCTTTATATCTACGCCCTCTTTCTGCTTTCCCCCCTCATTCCTCTGTCTGTCTTCCTCCTCCTCCCTCTGTCTGTCTTCCTCCTCCTCCCTCTGTCTGTCTTCCTCCTCCTCCCTCTGTCTGTCTTCCTCTTCCTTCCTCTGCCGGTCTTCCTCTTCCTTCCTCTGCCTTTCCTCCTCCTTCCTCTGCCGGTCTTCCTCTTCCTTCCTCTGTCTATCTTCCTCCTCCTCCTTCCTCTGCCTTTCGCTCCTCCTTCCATGCCTTTCCTTCCTTTCTTTGCCTTTCTTCCTCCTCCTTCTGCTTTCTCTAGATTCTCTTCTTCTCCCTGAACCTTTCAGCTTCCCCTTCTCTAGATGCTTTTCTCTTGTTTCTGCTCCCTCTTTCCCTGCTTCTTAGGTTTTCATCATTCTAAGACATCAAAATAAATGTGTCAAAATAATTAAACTTGCCTCTGATCAAAAGTGCCCAACTGCTTAGGTAGCAGGGGTTCATTTTGGTGGATGCCTATAGCTAGTGACACTTATAGTTTAGTTATATTAATTCATATCATCACAGGAATTACGTTTATAAAGCCGTAGATCCAGATGAGACGGGATACTAGACGAAGCGTTGCGAAAGAAGGGTGTTGACCAGACGTCTGAGCGCAGACTTGCGCGCAGGTCCGCGGCAAGGCGGCACGCGACGCGGGAACGCTCCTAGCGACAGTATGCAGCGGCTGGCAGCTATGGATTCCGTGCGCCGAAATGCTTACGCCGGCGCACGATCATAGCTGCCAGCGAACAGTCACAATTTTAGTGGGGGCCGGACACAGAAGGACAGACATTTGGGGACGTGAACAGTGTTCACTTGTTATATAAAACATAATGTCCTCTGTTCGTAAAGCGTAGCTGTGTCACGGAATCACAGAAAGACTGACGAAATTCTCGCGCGTTCGCGAACTCTTGCCGCCAGTATGAAATGCTGCAAGGACAAGGCTATATATAGACTGGGATCACTCCACCTCGATTACCCATCTGAGTGACTAAGCTAAGCCGAGAGTGCGGACGCGAGTGCCATTCTTTCCGGGGGCTTTCTTGCTTTGCGGCCCCGGGGTTTCCTATGGGCCCCCCCCCCTATAGGCGGCGCGGCAGGCGGCGCCACTGCTTTCCAAACTCGCGTAACGAGCCTCGCCTTGAACGTTGCAAAAACGTTGCAAGTGTTGCGGCTGACACCATTTCCAATTTACTGGCAAAGTGTCGCGAACGCGAGAATTTCGTCAGCTGTGTGATTTCGCATGACACAGCTCGGTTTTACGAACAGAGAACATTAATGTTTTATAACAAGTGAATAACTGTGTTCAGGAGAACAAAGATGGAAGCTGTTGAAATTGGTATCTCGTCGCTGTGAAAGTTCAAATGAAGGACGTCGAGCGAATTTTGGCTAGCACGCTTTCCTAGCCTGCTATACTATATATTCAGTGTAAGCGTGCAACAGTCGCGCCGGAGAGCAATGGCAGCCGGCAGCGTAACGTTGCGACGTAGGATTTCGACGGAATTTACAGGAACCTCGGCAATAAATCGTCAAAGAGAGTAGGCCTATGCATAGAAACTATTGAAGAAGTTGTAGTCAAATAGATTTCGTATTAGGTTAGCATTATATTTTATTATTTTACGTAGGAGTACTAGTAAGCACTAACTGTCTAACAGGAGTCGTCATGTATTAATATAGTAAGCTTACTACTACTAGTACGGTAACACAGTTTGTCATATTAAGCTCTGGTAGTACCAGTGACGTAGTACTAGTATACTGTAGTACTAGTAGTCCTGGTACTTAGTAAGTACTAATACTAGTAGTACTTACTACTACTAGAATTATTGGAACATGTACGTTGTAGTACTAGAATCATTCCGTAGGTGTGGATACAATTCGTGGCTCGCATTGGGATCGTGTTAGATTATGCATATTATATATATAGCCTAGGTGGGCCTGATAGAATCACGAGTACGAGGCCACAATTGGTTTTTATTGGGAGCTCATGTTCTCTATCCTGGGCCGTCCGAGTCGGAGCACTCCGGAATTTCCACGTGAATTCTTACGGAACACTTACCAGTTCAAGCTTCCCACTGTTCACAGTTTAGGCACCTTCTGCCACCCCTGTTGAGATCTTTAGTTTGATGAGGAGTTGTAACTAGTGCAGAGATACAATAGGCAGACATAACAAGTGACAATGACACTAACTGTAATTACTACAATAGGCGAAGCCGAATTCCTATCATATCGTATCCTCTAAACTCAGCCATCAACGCTAACTGCATGAGGCGCTATATATTGTTACAATGTCAACAAAAAAACTCCGTATTTACAGAAAAGAAGCGCGCCTTAGTAGCCTACGAATTGCGGCAGCATTTCTAGGCCCTTGTCTCCCCCCTTTCCCCCTCTCTCCTCCTCCCCCTCCCTCCCCCTCCCCTCTACATAACTGGGTAGTGAGATCCCTCGTGCAATGGGCAGAACTGCTCAATCATCGAAACGCCGGCTTCAAGCTCTCCTAGAACGGACGGCGGAATACTTGCAGTTGGTTAGAGGCAGCGACATTGCAAAAGCTGCCGGCTACGCGGCGTTTGAGCGCTTCGCGCGAATATCCGGCTGCAGATCGTCTAGTAATATAATTGCAACTTCGTCGCCATTTCATAGTTATGAATGGCAAATGCCTAAAAAGTCTGTTTGAAGATTGCATTTATTATATAAAATTCAGTAATCACTGGTTATTCCTACACAATATTGGTATACATTCATGTATTTTAACTTAATATACCACTGTCCAGAACGGAGTTATAGTGAACTGGACTTATACTCTTTTTACGAACCCGAAGTATACAGGTGGTACTTAAACTATGTCTGTATGTGTAACTGCGAGTTGGATTGGAAAAGGTTTGCCAGTATGAGAGTACATCTATAACTCAATATATGTAAATAGTTAAGCTTAGCAATGTAAAAAACTACATGCATATGTTTAGTAAAAACAATGTGTTATGTGTATTCATACAATACTAACCTCATACCAAAATCCCATTAGTGATATTGATTTGTAATCAGAATATTGTATATGTTGTAAATGTTGTATGGAAATAAAGAATTATAAAAAAAATATTCGTATATATTATAAACTTTTTAGTCATTTCATAAAGTACATGTAGTCTCTGTAATATATAGTCATATTATAAAGTGGTAGTTTATGTTCCTATAATAGGGTTTCTCTGTTATAAGTGTGGATATGCCTAGTAGTCCGCTATTAAAACTTCACAGTAGCATTTGTAAGGTACAAATGTGGTCAGTACGCATATTGGTTATCATTTCATATAGTTAGCCGTAGTCTCTGATATAAGAATGATATGCTAGTAGTCATCCTTACACACTATTGGTATTCATTTTCTATGAGCTTGCTCTGTTTATAGAGTAATATACCCAGTTAATTTATATTACAACGTGCTTTAATGATTAGTAGGCATGTCACACTTGGTAGAATATTTATAGCTAACCTCTGTTATAGGGTTTGCCATGATTTATTACAACTTGTCAGTCTATATGTATAGTGATATTCTAGTAGTCAGTACCGAATAGGTTAGTCTCTGTTATGAAGTGATAGGCTAGTAGTCTATTACAACTTGCAAGTTGTAGTCTTTTATATAGGAGTCCCTGATATTGGACTGATTACATGTATCCTAGTAGTAGTAGTCATTAATACAACTGTTGTATGCCTATTGGTGAATGGTGGCTTTAGCCGCTGTTAACACTCATACAGCCGATGAGCATGAATAGATGAGATGAAACAAGATCATGATGGAGAAACCGTCGGTAGCGAGTTAGAGTCCGCCCTCCAGCGGCCCGAACCCGAGACCCCTAGCACCGGAAGAAAGCAGCAGAACCACTGGCTAGCCGGCTATACCCTGTATGCCTAGTGGGGCATAATATACAACTTGTAAGTCATTCCATAGATGCTAGTCTCAGTTGGTAGGTGATATGCCTAGTAGTTATTCTGAATAAGAGGTCTGGCTGTTAAATTGATAGGGCTGATATGATATTTAATAGTCAACTATAAGCGCATTTCATATAAATATTATAGTCTCCTTTAGAAGGTGCAATATGCCCTAGTAGTCATATTAAACACTTGATAGTCAATTCTTATAGGTAGTCACTATATTATAGGGTGATATGCCTAGTAGTATCATATTCAACTTGGCAGTCATTTGATATAGATACTAGATATATAGTCTCTGTTATATTAAGATGATATCCTGTAGTGCATATACAACTTATTATAATTCCATATAAGGCTGTAAAGTTAGTCTCTGTTATCTGGATAGTAAGGGTGTTATGCCTCGTATCATATTACTACTTGGTAGTGAATTTGATATTATTATTAGTAGTTCTCTATTATAGGTGATATACTAGTAGCATATTAACACATTTTTTTGGTTTTCTTTTTTTTTTTCTTGTAGTCATTCTATATAGGTATCACTATTATAGGGGTAATTGATGCTAGTAGTCCATATTGCAGACTTGGTAGCTGTTGTACATGTCTTCATTTTCTATAAGTGGTCTCTTTATACTATAGAGTGATATCACTATCAACCTTAGTCATCATTACACACTTGGTATTCATTTTTCTATAATTATAAGTTGTTCTGTTTATCAGCAATATACCTGGTATACTAGTAGTCAATATGTACAACTTGGTACTAAGTCACTGCATATGTTACATAGTCGTCCTTCTTTGATAGATGCCTAGTAGTCATGTCCAAAACAGTAGGTATATACATATAGGGCTACTAACGGCCCAAGGATAGGACGAACATGGGTCCCAATAAAAGCAATGTGCCTAACGCCGTAACCCTAACCCTAACGATAAACCCTACCTATTATATTGAAATAATATTATATTTTATATTCATATTGATGTAAATGACATTGGTTTTTATTGGGACCAGGGCTCCGAATTAACCGACGGCCGACGGCAATTGCCGTCCGGTGCCCCTATGCAATCGCCGTACTGCCCGAAAATCCAACCCGACCGACGGCAAGTCATGCCACCTGCCCTTGCCTTCTTGTGTAATTGCCGGGTCGGTTGCCCTTTAATCTACTGCCTCTAGTTTTGTTTTAGTCGAATCAACATAGACACGTCGCGTGGGGCGTGCTGTAGTGCAATGATGAGGCTAAAACCGATGAGATCGCAGGAGGGACAATACAGCGCATCGGAAATTATTTGCTCTGATAGCGGGCAATGTAAAATTTCTTGTTACTCGCCACTTTCCATTTAGCAGAGGCTGGGTACAGGGTCCAGTATTAGCGTGTAAGCTTACATGGGGGTATATTGTTTTTTGTACATTATAAGCAAGACGATGTTGATGTACTAATTTGTTATGCGTTTTCCTTATTTGTACAACAGTGCTTGTGCCCTTCTCAAATTTTGAAAGTTGCCTTGTGCCTTCTATTTAGAGAACATTTCAAGGCGATTTCTCACATGCCTCTAAAAAAATTGGCCTTGCCTTCTCGTCGCTTAATTCCGAGCCCTGATTGGACCCATGTTCCTATCCTTGACCCGCTTATGTTATAACTTGGCAGGTAGTCGCTGTTAATATCGCTGTTACCTTGGCCATCGACACCGCTAGTTTTATTTGTAATGCCTGAATTAAGGCAGCAGACTTCGTACGATATACGTAGCCTAGTACATTATAGTCCATTAATGTAGCTATGTGGCATTCATTCACGCGAAACACTAGGGGCCTACCATAAACGTTATGCCATTCTGATCTGATACTAGGTAGTGATGGGCAGTATTCAAGTAGATACAATAATTAACCCAAACCCAGAGAGGATAGGCATGCTGGCCCTATCCTCTCTGGTTTGCGTTAGATCTATTGCTAATCTAGTATTCAAGATGCGGGGCTATAGTAGTACTAGTAGTACTAATAGTAATATGGCTTACGCGAGCTACAGCCTATATGACAGACAGATGTAAAATGATTGACGATCAATGAACTGGAACCATAACTTTCATTCACTACAAACCTCGATATCCTGGCTCAATACGCTCCAGCAACTCTTATAT